GGGTGAGGGGAGTTATGCCAAGCTCTCTGTGCTCAGGACTTCATCCTGAGTCTGAACTGAGGGATCTATCTTGATGAGATTTGGGCGGTTATATGTAGTGCTGGGAACTAAAACTAGCCCAGCTTTATGCAAGGCAAGTGTCCAACCAATTGCACAATCTTTCTAGCCCTAATTATCTCTCTCTCTTTTTGGGGGAGGAATTATTGCTTTCCAAGGTGTAATTTTGATCCCTTTGTATGGCAACCTTGACTTTATCCAAATTGACGAACATACAGAATTTTGGATGTGGAGAATAAACTTGACTAGCAAGAAATGTAGCCACTAGGCTATCTTCTTCATTAGTAAATATGAAATATCCATATTTACTTTTCTAAAGTGTAGAGTCTCTGGTTTGCTCCATTATTTGCAATGGTTCTGAGAAACTGAGATTTGTGCTTGTTCTGTTATATTCAGAGATCAAATTATTAAAACATATTAGTGTCTACTTTTTAGTTGGAGCAAGCATGAAGAAGTATAAAATTGGTCTGCTATAGCTTTGTAAATTCAGAGTACATTTAAATGTAAAGATTTTTATTCCAAATTATTTTGAATTATTTTGTATTATTTAGTTGCACTAGACCGTTAAAGATACAATTAAACAACATAGGAAAAGAGGTTAATGCTTAAGATATGGGCTAAGGTATATAAATCTCAACAAAAATAAGACAGACAGTGCGAGGCAGCAAATAAAAAAATGAATAAAGGAAATCAATGAATTCAGTAAAAATCACAAACTAAGATATTGTAGTCATAACAGTAATTCTAATTCTTATTTTAGAGATAATGATATTCTTTTGCATAGAACTACTCTGAAATTAGGAAAATAAGAGGAAAAAATTGTCTGGGGAAAAAAGGATGTGGAGACTGAGAAATAGTTGAGCTATCTACTCTCAAAATATTACCCATTTGAACAAATATTATATCCTATTCATTTAAATGTTATACATTTGAATAGGTAATATACTCAGTTAATTTAAATCTTAAACATTATCAATGTGTTTATATAAATAAGTCCTCTATATGGGGATTTTTGTATAAATAGATGCGATAGAGAGATAAGGCTGAATGTGTATCAGTTATTATGTTCTTCAATGTAAACCAAATCTAAGTTCTTACTTTTCTCCCATCTTATTATTCTAGAGCCTCACTTCAAAAACTCTGGACCACAACATATATGGGGTCATTTAATACATTGTAGAGGGAGTGAAAAATCTTAAAATTGTGTCACTTGATCGCTTGACTTCCCATTAATCATCGATTTGCTTGAGTGGGTGCCAGTAAAGTCTCCATTTGTTCCTTTCGCTTGCTAGTGTGGGCCCAATGGCATCTGTTTGTTGTAGGAACACGAACAGCCTCAGACCGATCATTCAGGGTCTTGACGAAGAAGTCTGACCATCTTGTAGGTGGGTGGCCAGTAATTACAATGGGTCTCATTCCCCAGTAAAATTATGTAAGGTAAGGTAAAGGTAAAAGGTAAAGGCCCTCCTGTTGATTGTCGATTTGCTCGAGCGGGCCCAGTAACGTCTCCATTGGAGACTTTGTTGTTACTGTGTTTGGCATATCGAATACTCTCGGTAGCTTGCCGGGCTCTCCGAGAGGGGCAGAGGAATCGAATGCGGGTCGGCCATGTTGGCCGCTTGTAAGGCGAACGCCCTACCCGCTGTGCTATTGCTCCAGTAAAATTATGTATTAAAATTAATTTCTTTATTTTCATCAGAAATATGTGATTTTTATAACTATATGAGTATATGAACATATTTATTTATATCCATATTATTTCCTGGAGTCATGTAAAATTTGAAGATCAAACAAAGATACCAAGTAGAGGCCCAGGTCTGGATCAAAGCATCTGTTCAGTCTATTGAGCTGTCTCTCAAGTACCTATTTTAGAATTTTTGTTGTTAATATAACTTATGACCAATTTAGAGATTATAGTAATTGTGTAGATATAGTAAAATGTCATCCTATATTTTAAAAATTAGCCCATGTTTTTCTATCATGAAAGTAGGGTAAATAAAAATCACATCAAGTTACTATAATTACATTTATAGTTACATTTAAAGCAAATATTTTATTCTTCTTTCAAAAATGTGATTTTTATGAAGGGCAGAACAAGGTTTGTGAACTTCTGTAGTAAGGAATGTGAATTTTTGTAGCAGCATCTAAATAAGACATGTCCAGGGCCAAATGGTTTGTCCAAACAAACTAATGAGTAGAATATTGAATAATCTTTTGGAGAACCTAGAAAAAATAAATGGTACACTTGGGAGACAGAGTAGGAAATTGTATGGAAAAAGTTCCTCTTTGATTCTTTATTTTATGGGATATAAAAGATGTGGAGTTGATGATAAATGAAATAACTAGGGTAAAAAATGCTTTGGAGCTGTAGATAGCAGAAAACAATATACTATCATTGTATATTATACACTGGGATGGCACATGATATCATGAGGACAAAGAGACAAGAATTCAGACAATGCTATAGTTACATAATAAAGAAATATACACTGTGTTAGCCACATAGATCACAAATTTATATTAAAAGAAAAAATCAGTCTTCTTTTTCTTTCTTTTTTTTAATTGAAACACCATGTGATACAGTTACAAAGCTTTCATGTTTGAGTTTCAGTCATACAGTGATTGAACACCCATCCCTCCATCAGTGCACATTTTCCACCACTAATGTCCCCATTATCCCTCCCCCATCCCACTCATTCCCCTGCCTCCATGGCCGACAATTTCCCCCATACTCTTTCTCTACTTGTGGGCATTAAGGTTTGTAATACAGATACTGAGAGGCTATCACGTTTGGCCCTTCATCTACTTTCAGCACACATCTCCCATCCCAAACAATCCCTTCAACCACCATTAACTTAGTGATCCCTTCTCTATTCCAGTTGCCTCTCACCCCCTTCATGAGAGAGGCTATCAACAATGGAACAATATTCCTGGCCCTTATGTCTACTGTCTTTGGGTGTCAGTCTCATATTATGTTAGAAAACAAATCAGTTTTGATTTCATTTTGAACATAAGAATCAGGAAATCTCAGAAGGTCCCATGTCCTTGTTCAACCACTTGAGCTGTATTAGTGATCATATTGCCTTAAGTGGGAACTCTTTGAATGCAGTTCCTACAATGTTCCTAAAGTCTCATTTGGGAGAGGAATATTAGGGCTCCACCTGAAGGTGCTCAGAGTTTACTCCTGGCTCTTTGCTCAGGGATCAGTCCTAGAGATGCTAGGGGACCATGTAAGTTTCCAGGAATCAAAAAGATCATTCATATACTCGGCAAATGCTGTATTCACTGTACTATATCCCTCCAACCCCAATCTACGAGTCTTTTCTGACTTTACTGTGGAATTTGTTCACTGTGGTATTTGTTCTAAATGTGGATCTCAATACTATTAGACATTTGCATCTTTCTTATTTTTTTGCAATATTTTCTCTTATTTGTTTATGTTTAATTGGGGTAGGCAGACCCAGCTCAGGGTTCATCACTAGCTCTTTACTCAAGGATCATTTCTGGCAGCTTGTTGGACCACAAGGGATTCCTTGAATCCAACCCAGGGACCACATGCAAGGTAAACTTCTTATTCACTGTACTATGACTCCAGCCCCTTATCAATATTGTCTTAATCCTGTCATAGTTAGCAAAAATAATAATGATCCATCCATCATCCACACATAGACCCAAAGCCTGAACTCTAGAAAAATACAACATCCCCTAATATTTCATTTCATTTTTTTCATTTCATCATCCTGTTATTTGTCGATTGCCTCGAGCAGGCCCCAGTAATGTCTCTTTCATCCTAACCCTGAGATTATATTCAAGGCTCTTTAGGAGAATGAGACCCATCATTGTTACTGGTATTTGGCATATTTGGTACGCCATGGGGAGTTTGCCAGACTCTGCCCTGTGGGCAGGCTACATTCGATAGCCTGCAAGTTTGTCCAAAGTAGGTATGAGATAATAAGATGTCATAAAAAGATGTCCTGATAAGATGTTGCACAGCCACGAATGCTGCCGCGCGGTTCCGGGAGCTGGATTTTATAGTCTCTGAGTCTTGGCCGTTGATGGGATTACACGGCGCCAGGGGGCCAGGTGGTGGGTGTGACCCCCGCCTACTGGAATTTGGAGGATCTGGGTGGAGGATGCTCGACTCCAATCCGAGTAGGCTGGGAGATCTCGGCCCCGGAACCCGCGTGGATTTGTCCCTCTGCCAGTACCTTCATGTGTGCGGAGAGTGGTCTCAGCATGGTGGCGGCTGGTCCTGGAGGTCTTCGGCTGCCGGAGCCCTGGTCGGGGCGGGGAGGAAAGCTCAACCTGCTCCCCTCCAACAGGCCCCGGCGAAGAACAGCCAGGCGCGGGGGCAGAAGACTGCACTGTTCTTGTCCGGGAGCTGGATTTTATAATATGACTTTCATCTTTATTCTAAAGATAGATTGAATTTCACTTTCAACAGAAATGGATTTCTTGAGTGTGAGAAGGTTTTTCAGAACCAATGTTATCAGTTTTGAAGAGGAAATTTCACACCAGAAACTGATTTGAGCCAGTTAAACAACTGATTCGTCCAGGAGGTTAGAGTTTAATCAAAGACCATGATGATTTGTGGTTGTAGCTTGTATATGTCTGTTCATTGCAGTGGCTTGTAGAGGTGCTTCCTTATAGTAGCATAAGTATCAGGGAACAGAGGTCATGGAGTAATTTAAGCATAGTGTTAAAGAACAAAACTTAAGAAATGAAGAGACCAGGCTTGGGAAGTGGTTGAGAGAGTTCATAATCTCTGGTCTTTCATCCTATGCTCTCTGGTGGACCAAGGCGATGAGCCCTGACTTCAACTTGGTGAAATCCCATAAATACATATACTTGATAACAGAAACATAAAACAAAAGATGTTAGGGTAGTTATACTATCTAACAGGAAACAAATATTCCATACGCAAGACAAACTTCTCACACCCCTCAGACATGCCTTTGTTTCCACAGCACTCTCCTCAGGGCTCCCTTTACCTCAGCATTCCTTAGGCTGTAGATCAGAGCATTCAGGGTAGGATTGAAGAGGATGTAAAACAGAGAAAGGATCTTCTGCTGCTCCTCAGGGTTGCGGGATTTGGGGGCCATGTACACAACAATGGCGCTGCCAAAGAAGAGCCCCACCACGCAGAGGTGGGAGGAGCAGGTGGAGAAGGCCTTCCTGCGGCCCTCCCCTGACTGGATCCTGAGGATGGCTACGAGGATGCGTGTGTAGGACACCAGCACCAGGCTGAAGGGCCCCACCAAGATGAAGACACAAGCTGCGAAGATGACAATTTTGTTGAGTGTGGTGTCAGCACAGGCCAGCCTGAGGACAGACAGGATCTCACAGAAGAACTGGTTGATTTCGTGAGGTCCACAGAAGGGCAGTCTGAGGAGGAGAACCACGTGGACAAGAGACAGAAGGGAGGCGAATACCCAGGAAGAGACGGTCAGGACAGTGCACACTCTCCAGCTCATCATGACGGAGTAATGTAGTGGGTGGCAGATGGCCACATACCGGTCATAGGACATTAAGACCAAGAGGAGGCACTCAGTGTGACCGAGAGCCATGTATAGAAAGGTCTGCATGATGCAAGAGATGAAGGAGAGAGATTTTCTTGTCGACAGCATCTGGGGTACCGTGTTGCAGACATAGGCTAAGTCCACAATGGCCAGGTGTGAGAGGAAGAAGTACATGGGGGTGTGCAGCCGAGAATCAAGCCAGATGAGCCCCAGGATGGTCCCATTTCCCAGAAGTGTTAAGGCATAGCACAGTGAGACGAGTCCAACGAGGAGCAACTGCATCTCCGGGCTGAGTTGGAATCCCAATAGAACAAATTCTGTGACCCATGTCTGATTCTCCCTCATGTCCTACCGAGGGAGCCAGGGTTGGTCACTTGCTGCTGCCTTGTGGGGTGTGTTGAGGAGCAAATGCAGGTCTCAGTCAGTTTCTAAACAGAAAAAAATAGTTATGGTGTTCAGTGAGTGTGTGAACTCAGCATCCTTTGAGAGCCCTATCAGGTCAAATCTTAATCCTCAGTAAAGCAGAAGCCCAGGTCATGTAAGTGATATATGTGAACACATAGTTCATCTACATGTGTAGTTCCATCTATAGCATCTATTTTATTTTTTTATTGAATCGCCATTAGATACAGTTACAAAGCTTTCATGTTTGAGTTTCAGTCATACAATGATCTAACAGCCATCCCTCCACCAGTGCATCTCTGCACCACATTCTCCACCACCAAAGACCCCAGTATACCCTCCCACTCACCCTTCCCAAACTTCCCCCTGCCTCCATGGCAGACAATTTCCCCCATACTCTCTCTCTACTTTGGAGCATTATGGTTTGCAATACAGATACTGAGAGGCTATCGCGTTTGTGTCTTTATCTACTTTCAGCACAGGTCTCCCATCCCAAACGATTCCCCCAACAATCATTGTCTTAGTGATCCCTTCTCTATTCCAGCTGTCTTCTCCCCCAGCTCATAAGACAGGCTTGCAACTCTGAGGCAATTTTCTAAATGTTTTCATTTCTAAGTTAGTTTTTATTTTGACAAAATTTACTTTCTACAAATTTAACAAAATTGAATGCTAACCGTAAAGTAAGTAAAGTAAAGGCCCTCCCATTGATCATCGATTTGCTCGAGCGGGCCCAGTAACGTCGCCATTGGAGACTTTGTTGTGCTAACCGTAAGCTCCACTTATTTACAGATAGGAGGGTTTGCACAGAATGATAAATTTCCAGAATTAATAACACTTTATTTTTTGAGAAAAACCAACAATATTCTTATCTCTTCATGCTAATTTATTTCTTTCAATTTGTGGACCCATTTTCTTTTGATCGTTTGAGTCCCTTATTTTATGACCTGTGCAGATTACAACGCACATGGCAATTACTCAGTAAGTGATCATACAGTAAATTCACAAAGGAATCAGCTGGAACGGGAGATTAAAACACAGCACCTAGGAACTCTGTTTCCTTGTGTTCACCAGGCTTAAGTCCTTTTCATAGAAAGTGGACAGTGTTATGTTTGGTTTTAACTAGTTATTTATTTTACCTCTGGTGCAATACGGAAGCCTGGCAAGCTACCGAGAGTATCTCGCCCGCGCACGGCAAAGTCTGGCAAGCTATCCGTGATGTATTTGATATGCCAAAAACAGTAACAAGAAGTCTCACAATTTGTTGTGAGAAGTTACTGATGCCCACTCGAGCAAATCGATGAACAACGGGAGGACAGTGCGACAGTGCAATACGGAAAATTTGTCTATTTCTCTCTGGATATGAATAAAGCAACATCACTAATCTGATCTTCAGTGATAGAGCTAGCGAATGATATAAGGTCAGGAAAAGTGTCTATTCAAATAGAGATAAAGGAATTAATTTAGTTTCCTGGGGCTGGAGCAATAGCACAGCAGGTAGGGCGTTTGCCTTGCACGTGGCCAACCTGAGTTTGATTCCCAGCATCCCATATGGTCCTCTGAGCACTGCTCGGGGTAATTCCTGAGTGCAGAGCCAGAAGTAACCCTGTGCATCACCGAGTGTGACCCAAAAAGTGAAAAGCAAAAAAAAAAACAGGTATTTAGTTTTTTGCCCACCCTTCCCTTATTCCAAATACATGTGGATTCTGGTTAAATGTACCACTGGATGTGGACTGTGCCCTTAACACTCCATACCTAACTCCCTGGCTAATTAGCTAGCAAAGTATAAATTGATAAAGAGATAGATAGGTAAATAAGTGTATGGATTGATGAATGAACAGATGGATAGATAATGTATAAATGCCACTACTTTAAAAAATTAGTAAGTAAGTAAGTAAAGGCCCTCCCGTTGATCATCGATTTGCTCGAGCGGGCCCAGTAACGTCTCCATTGGAGACTTTGTTGTTACTGTGTCTGGCATATCGAATACTCTCGGTAGCTTGCCGGGCTCTATATGTCTTGTAATCAAATCCTCCAAATCCTCATTGGTTTTCTCTGGCTGACTCTATATCTGGCCACAGAATGATGAAAGGGAAAACTTAAGAAGTTCCATGAGAGTTCAGAGCATGCACGGTCACTCTCTATGTCACTTGCCACCCCAGCTCTGAGAATTTCAGCCCCATTACAAGCCCAAGCCCCAATATGCCTTCTACCCCTCAACTGATTCTGTGTCTCCCACCAATATATTATTCCCTGGACTCTTTCCACCTACAGACCTCAACCTCTCTTAACCACTATACTTAGGAAAAGAATCTTTACTCACTTTGTCACCAACCTGCTCTGATTTCAGGGATAAGATTAGATGTGGAAGAAATTGCTACGGAAGTCAGAGAGATTTTGAAGGTCCCAACTGAGACTCTTACTCCCTCCAACGGCCACTTGAAAGAACTTTCCAAGTATGAGATCTGTACCTTTCTCTCAACACACAGTGACAATGGAACAGGCACCTACTTACTTTGGAGACCGGTGGCAAGGATTTTATGAAAATATAATCTCCATCCAAACCCTCCCAGATTGTCCCAGAGGATCACAAAGGAAAGCCCAAGACACAAACGCTATTGCTACCAGGAGAACTAAGAATTGTTTCTCTCTGTCTCTGTTTCTCTGCACCTGGGGGATATCTAGAATAAAAGAAACTAGATGAGGCCTTAATTCCCAGATGGACCTATTTGTTTGAAACTCTGTGCAATAATAGAATACACAAATTACAATCCTCAAGAATTTGTTTTGTGTGTGTGTGTGTGTGTGTGTTTTTTTTTCTTTTAGTTTTGGGACTATACCTGATGATGCCTCAGAGGTTACTCCTGGCTCTGTATTCAGGAACTCTGTACTCTGAACTCCTGATGGTGTTCAGGAGATTGTATGGGCTCCTATGGATCAAACTGGGTTGGTCACATCCTACCCACTGGGCTATTGTTCTGGCCCAATAGTCTCCAAGAATTTCAGATATAATGGGTTCTAAGATCTCAGTCTTGCTCAAGATGGATTTGTTTAAACCACAACACCCAAAATGAGTGAGAGAGCAAAAGGGTATGCCCTGCCACAGAAGCAGGGTGGGGTTGGGGGGGATGAGCTGGGGGTAGTGGGAGGTGCACTGGTATCATTGGTGGTGGAGAATGGGCACTGTTGGAGGGATGGGTACTGAGCATTGTATGACTGAAACGTAACCATGAAGGTTTGTAAGTCTGTAACTGCACCTCACGGGGATCCATTATAAAATATAAATAAGTAAATAAATAAAAATGCCCAGAGACCAAAAAAAATAAGAGAGATAGATTTTCTCAGAGGAAGCAAAGCTTCATTCTTAGGAGATAATGATAGGAAAATTAATGCTGATTTCTTTCTTCTTTTATACTATATTAATCCAAATTGATTAGTGGACAATAAAAAACCTCTATCAACCTTGTCACACGGTGTATTAAGTACTGTGTCCTCTTCACCTAACAGCTTGGGTGTGGGAAGGGAAGGCAGACACCAGAGGGCAGCTGCCCTGAATCTCTTGATACAATGAGCTCTCTAAAAATGTTGCCTTATATTCACATAACAAGGCACATATTCAAATAACAAGAATTTAAGTTCCTTAAAAACTTTGCTGAGGGGCCGGAGCACAGCAGGTAGGGCATTTGCCTTGCATGCATCAGATCCGGGTTCAAATCCCAGCATCCCATATGGTCCCCTGAGCACCTCCAGGAATAATTCCTGAGTGCAGAGCCAGGAATAACCCCTGAGCATCGCTGGGTCTGACCCAAAAAGCAAAAAAAAAAAAAAAAAAAAAAGACAACTTTGCTGAAACATAGGTATGTACGTGCAAGAGTGCACAATGTCAGTGAAATTTTGGTGATAAAATCCAAAATTCATTACTAGATATATCAGCTTTTTACTCAAGGTATTTTAAAAATATGAGTTGTGGTTCTGTTTCAAGGGAGGAAAATATACATGTTTTCTCTTTTGAGCTTAAAGGCTCATCTAGGATCTTGTTACAATTATTTCCTTGGGCAAGACAATGAAGCTCAAAAGACCCTCTGCAGGAGTGATTACAACAGTTTGGGAGCCTTGGGCAATGTTTTAGAAATAATAATAGACTTTGATTTGTCTTGGTAAAACTGAAGAATTGAACAAAATATTGTCAAGATAATTTTCAATTATCTCTAATCAATATGCTATGCTTAGAATTAACCTTACTTAGGCACTTAATAATTTAGTTGTCATTTATCAATTAATTTATTCAATTCATATATATTGAGCAAGTGTCTTTTACATGGGGGTATTGTCTAGTCATTGGAAAGCAAAGACTAATAAAAATGGACTTGATCTTCAAGGAGCGTACATTCTTTCTACAGAATAAATAATGCATATAAATAATTTAAGGACTTTGACAGAAATTTCCACTAATTGCTATGAGACCAAAGAAGAGTGTGCTGGATTATTCTGAAAATGGTTTTGGAAGGTCTGGGGATGTTTAAACAGACTTCAAGAAGATTTAAAATAGATAGGATATATCAGGCCATGGGATAAGTATAAGGAAGATCACAATTAAAGAATGATACTGAAATTCAGTACACAGAGAAGCTAGTATACTATGTCAAAGATGTTAAACTTCTTGATAAATTAAGAATAGAATGACATTGTTAAATGTAATTAAAAAGAAGGCTATATCAATTGCACTCTCCTGCTCCTAGTTAAATCTAAGTGTCATCTAATAGCCTTTAGCTATCTAAGGGCTAATCTAAATCAAATCCCATCATAACACACCTATGGTCTCCAAGACTCTCCAAAGCTAGGAAATGAGCATTCTAGAATGTCCTACCACAAAGACTGTTGGACATCATCCATACCCGCCTCCCGCCATTGGACTGCCCCCAAGTCATCTGGACGATGCTTTCCTG